TGGTCTCTCTTCGAGATACAACCACCATGCAGGTTTGCCTGGGGCTTCAGGGTTTGCTAATAGAAAATTTTTAATTATCAAACATTTCAGGTATACCCTAAAATGTAGATAGTATTATCACATAGAAATGTGTTCCCACAGTTTAAGTAGCAAACACCACAGACACAACTGAAGTTCCTGTGTCCCTCTCAGCCCATCTCTCTGAATTGTGTCTCATTCCCATTCATATTTTATACTTTTATGACATATTTACATATACATATGATTAAACCTTACAGACACACATCCTTCAGGTCGTGTTGCTGCTGTTAACTGTCACACAGTTGGATATTAGGGACTCATAGGCATGATCAGTGCCGTTCTGAATCTCCCACTGGATCCTAATTGTGAATATCTGTTAAGCCCTCAGTCTGCACCAGGCATGGTTTCAGGTGCCGCACCTGGCTTAACTCATTTAATCTTCACGACAAAGTTATTTTTATTCCCACTTTGCAGATTTGGAAACAATGGCACAGAAAGGTGAAATTACGTACCCGAGTCACATAGCTTGGAAGCAGTGCTTCTGACTGCTGCACACTCTTCACTGCTGCGCTGTCTATTGAATGAGAACACTGTAAGTTATCCATCTGCTCTGCTATTTAAGGGCCATTGATTATTTTTGCCTCAGCAGTGGGAGCAGAGAGTTTTGGGTGGTTGTATTATCTCGTTTGGTTCCTACGTCAAGCCTGTGAGTGGGTATTTGTATCACCCCCCCCCACACACACCCTTTACAGTTGATGCATCTAAGACTCAGAGAGGGTGAGTCACCTCCTCAAAGCTGCACAGCTCCAGTGTGCCAGAGGTGGGCTGTGAACCTGGACTCCTCCAATTGCAGAGTCCGGAGGCTCTCCCATGTCCCCTATGAGCCTTCGGTCCCCATCGTCTTCTCTTGCCTCTGTCCCTGGCAGCCTGCCCTCCCTCCGGCAGAACACCCTCCCCACACCTGGGCTTTGATCTCCCTCCTCTGGCCACCCTCCACTGTCCTCCTCCCTGAGAAGTGGCCCAACCGGAAGGCCAGTTCATGTTAGGAAATTCCAGCCACGTGAGCCAACCCCAGCCAGGGATTCTGAGCAGCCGGTGGCTTTAGAAGAAACTGAAACTTGGCTTGCTGGGGGCGGAGTGGTCACTGGGGATTTAAAGAGTCACCACTTCCTTGGGTCCCCAGAGGGCACTGGGAGGTCACAGCAGCTGAGGGACACCCTGAACCAGATGTGAGCCTTTGCCGCACTGCCTAAACCATGCACCTCTGTGGGGGCGAAGGGCTGCTGACCGGGATGGTGAGTACAGGGAAACAGGGAGAGGGGAGGAGAAGGGACATGTGCCTGAGGTCCCCAGCGCCTGGGTGGGGAGAATGTCGTCCCAGCTCTGTACACATGGGCTGTGTGACCGTGGGCTCCACACCCCCGTCTCAGCTTCAGTTTCCTCAGGGATCGGAATGAGGGCTTTCCAGCTCTCACGTTGCAGGTCCAGCCTCCAGTTTAGAACTTGGCCCCTGAACACTGCTCTCTCCTAACCCACCTGTCCTCCCCTCACTGCCCTTAGGGGAGCCTCTCTTCCCTCCCCAGTTCTCCCGCATGATTCCCCTTGGAGGCCCTGCCCCTCTCCCAGGACCCAGAGGCACCCCCTTCCTGCACTGTGGGTCTTTCCTCATGCTCCAGTCTCTTGCCCCTTACCTCCCCCCAGCACCTGCAATGGGCCTGTTGTGGCCACAGACCTAGGAGCAGAGCGGGTCCTTTGCCAGGGAGGCAGGTGTCGCCTGAGTTTCCCACACTCAGAACACACCTCCCAGAGGGACCTGCGAGAGGGGAGGTTGGGCTGTGGGGCCTCCAACATTCTTTCTTGCCTGAACTTCCAAAACTCTGGGCACTTGGGTTAAATAGTTTAAGTATCACAGACCTCCTAATCTGGGGTCTGGGGGCTGGAAAGGGTCACAGCTGTCCACCTTTGAGTCCACTCTTTCATTGGAACAGACTTCACTCATTCATTCTAGGTTGCTCCCATGCTAGAATGTGAGCTACTTTAGGGCAATGATTTTTGCCTGTTTTGTTCACTGCTGTGTCCCCCTAGCTCAGTGCCTAACACATAGTAGGTGCTCAATAAATATGTGTTGAGTAGGTAAGTATGACCTTTGGGCCTGAGTTGAGCATGGGCTCGTGGAGCAGAGTCAGGCCCGCCCTGCCCTCACGATGGAGCTCACAGCTGGGGAATCAACCAGCTTAACTGTGGAAATAATAGCGGTGGGAGGCTGACCTTTATTAACCCCCCCACCTGCTGGCCCTGGGCTACCTGCTTTGTGGCCTGTGGGAAGACACTGTGATGCCTCCTTTGAATAGATAAGGCTGGTTCAAAGAAGTGAGTGACTTGCCCAGAGTGACATTGCTGATAGTGTGGGAGTAAAGTCAGGGTTTGAATTCCAGCCTCCCAGTTTCCTCTTTGCCCTCCCCCACTGGGAGATGTGAGCAGGACACTGACACTGAGTAAGGCTGGCACTCCAACGAGGTGTGCCATGCCTGTGATGGGGTGCGTGGGCTCCCAGGGAGCCAGAGGTGGCTTCTGGGAGAAAGGGGACCTTTGGGGACTTGACTTGGGAAGGGCATGGCTTTATAGAAGGCCAGGACAGAGGGCTCAAGCCGCTGCCAGGAACTGAACCCGTTGCTTGTGCCCTGCAGGACTCTGAGGGGCATCAGAGGCAGCTGAAGAAGAAACAGAAGAACCGGGCATCTGCCCAGCGCAGCCGTAAGAAGCACACGGAAAAGGCAGACGCCCTGCACCAGGTGGGGGATTCCGCCCTTGCCCACCCTGCCTGCACTTACCTGGCCCAGCTGCCTCTTCTCCACCCACCTATGAGCAGAACCCCCTATGCGGCTGGTGCTGAATTTGGGAGGAGGGAAGGGCTCTGCCGCTGAGATTTGGAAATTTCTGGGTGTGGAATGCAAACTGTGTTCCAGATACAGACCAGGCTCTAGACAAAAGGTGTGCCCACACTGGCCCTGCCCTCTAGGCGCCCCAGTCTAGGGAGAGGAGGCTGGAAGTGGAGGCAAACTGGGAGAGCCCAGCAGAGCAACCAGCTAAGGTGCTCCTCAAAGTGACCCCTGACCACCCCCACCCCACGCGCAGGTCCCACCCCAGGAGCTGCCTGGCGGGGTTTCTGATGAGGTGGCCAAGACCACACTATGAGACACTGGTTCTGGATTAAGTTGGACTGGCTTCAGAGTCCCAGCTGTGGTACTCATTAGCTGCAAGTCGCCTCCCTCTCTGAGCTTCACTGTCGCCATCCAAAGACGGACAAGAATGCCTGCCCGCTAGCAGATACTTGTGGAGACTAAAGGAGGCAAGGGAGCCCAGTGGGGCAGGAGGGCTGCGCCTGCACTGGCCTCTCACCTTGAGTGGTGACCTCCCCTTGGCGATTCCCTCCTTCCTCTGCAGAGAGGAGGGACTCTTAAGGGCTGGGCTCAGGACCTGGCCCTTGGGAAGGCTGCATACACCTTAGTCCCTAGTGATGGGTAAAACTCACAGCCCTCTGCACCCAAAGGCCCTATGATGCCAGCCCCACTGCGTGCCCTCCTCTCCTAACGCCCACACCCTGTTCTTCCTGGTCCTTCTCTGGACCAGCATATCCAGCCTCAGGGGCTCTGCCCTTGCTGTTCCCTCCACCCTCCGGCAGCAGTCCAGCTAGATTCTCACTTCTTTCCAGTTGCTTGGTTTAAATGTCGCCTCCTCAGAAGGGCCTTTCTAAGCCATCTGAGCTAAAGAGACCTCTCCTTGTTACTCTGCTTTAGTTTTCTTGTCAGCACTGACCTCCTTAGATGTTCACTGCTTGTCTCCCTCACCAGCCTGTAAGCAACATGAGGGCAGAGAGCTCTTCTGTTCCCTGCTGTTTCCCCGTCTCCTGGAACAGTGCCTGACGAATGGAAGGGACTCAGTAATTCCTTGTGGAGCAAATACAGTCAGAATAAAGCACTCTAGAAACACAAAGGGGGCAACAACAGATAGCAGCATCAGGGTGACAGAGAGATGAAGTCTGAACCAGCCTTGAAGGATGAACAGGAGTTTCCCAAATGGGTGAAGAAAGTAAGAAAAGGCGTTGCAGGTGAATGAAACTGCGCTGGCGCCGGCAGGAGAGAACACCACCCTGCAGGTTGCCTGAGAGTGAGGACAGGCGCCAGGATGGTGCTTCATGCATTCATTTATTCCTTCCTTCCAGAAATGCCTGTTGAGTGTCTCCTGTCTGACAGCCACTGTTGTAAGCATTGGAGATACAGCTGTGAACACAGCAGACAAGAACAGCCCACCCTCCCCAGGGCTCGTATTTTTATGGGGGGAGCTGGACAGACAAATAAATGGTTCAGGAGGTGTTTGGGATGTCAGATGGTGATAGTGCTATGGGGAAAAATTAAAGCAGAGAAGAGGGAAGGGAGCAGGGCAGATGGGGTGACGGAAACCTAACAAGGAAAGCCCTCCTTGAATAGGTGACATTTGAGCAGCCTAAAGGTGGTGAATGAATGAATGAATGAATGAATGAATGAATGAATGAATGGAGTGATTCAATTTCTGGAGGTGAATTGAAGTCTTTGGAGAATTTAGGTGAAGGGTGGCCTAATGACATTTAAGAAATGTCATTCCACATGCAGAGACCAGCCCAGGATGAGGCTGCTGGTGGCTCTGACACCTGTTAGGACTTTGAGTCCACGGCCTCAGCAACATTTTTATGTGAGACACCCTGCAGCTTCTTCTTTTAAAAAATGTCCACAGGGGTGCAGTGAGGGAGGGAACCATTCAGCCTTAGGAACTGTGGAAATAGTGCTTTTTTCTGTATTTTCTGCCGATGTCCTCATCATTAATGGCTGTTTAGAAGTGCACGTTGAGTTTTTAAGTCCCTGTGGGTTCTCAGAACCCAACAGGACAGGACCTGACACGTGCTGACTCAGGGATGCTGAACAGAACTCACTGTGCTGCCAACCTTCGAAATGGGACCTGGGCTCCACCCCCAGGGCCTCAGTGGGTGGGTGCTGAGCAGTCTGGAGATGTCCGGGGTAGTAGGACAGCTCAGTTGCCATGAAAAGTCCATGTCAGGATTAGGCCAGGGGAGGGAGTGCTGGAAGAGTGTCCAGGCAGAGGCAACAGGAAATGTCATGGGGAAGCGGAGTCCATTGGAGGGACAGGAAGTGGGAGGGGCAGGAGTGAGAGGTAAAGCTGGAGGTGAGCTGAGATCACCTTGCACAGGGAGTTGTGGGAGCCTTTAAAGGCTCTAATGTTTGGTTAATGACACAGTTGTCCAATGGTTCCTTGGGTCAAGAAAACGAGATGGTTTGGGAGAGCCCCAGTCCGGAGTCTGGTGGAGCTCCCAGGTGAGTGGAGATCGCGGGCTGGTAGAGATCACTGGCCAAGGAACTCAGGATGGGAGCAGGCACATCTGAGCCCTGAAAGGAGGCAGAATGGGAGAGACTTGGTGGTGGTTGTGGAGAGCTGGCCAGTGAGTAGCTGAGGGCCCCAGCTTGGACATTTGCAGGGTGGTGGTATCTTTTCCCTACCTTGAGAACCCTGAAGGGGTGGTGATGGGTGGCGGTGAATGGGGCTCATGCTGAGCCCCTAGTGCTGGCTGACACCCCCTCTCTGCCCCTCTGCTTCTCCCTGCAGCAGCACGAGTCACTGGAGAAACACAACCATGCTCTTCGGAAGGAGATCCAGGGCCTGCAGGCTGAGCTGGCATGGTGGGGTAGGGCCCTGCATATGCACGAACGCCTGTGCCTGATGGACTGTGCCTCCTGCTTGGCTCCTTTGCCCTCCAGCTGCTGGAGCCAGGCCAGGCGGCCCCTGGACCCCTCACCTCATAGACAACATGACTGCCAGGAGCAACTGAGACTATTCCAGACCCCAGTCTCCTCTTCCTCTGCTCAGCAACTCTCTCCGGATCTGCAGCCTCATGGTTCCCCTGGCCTTGTCCTGTCCCCTTTGCCCTCACTGTCCCTTGGCCCTACTACGATTACTGCACCTCCTGCTCAACTGTCCCCCAGCCCTGTCCAATCTGCCTCGCCCTCTGTCTCCAGCCTACTGAGACCTTCCTCCAAGCTCAAAGCCCTTCTGCCCAGCTTGTCAGCCCAACCTGCCCCTCAACAGCCCCTTGGGCCGGAACACATCACCAGGGGGAAGCTGGTGTCCTCACCTCACAGTCCCTCGGCTGCTCTGGGGCTGGCCAGTCTGCAGGACGTGGGGCACAAGCCTGCTTTCTCAGCAGCAGACCAGCCAGGGCAGGGTGTGGATCTCAGCCCCAACCTGCTCCTGGCCTTTCCCCTGCTCTCCTCTGCTCAAGTCCACTTCTAACCTGGCTGCCTGGAGCTGGGCTGGCCCTTCCTCAGGCTTGGAAGCAGACTCAACACACAGCATCTCCTCCATTGCCACTGAGGCTGCCCTTCTTGGCTGACCAGCTGGCCCAGGATTTCCCCAAGGAAAGGAAGCCATCTCTGTGTGCCCACCACTCGACCAGGCCCTATCACCACCACTATCTTATTTCAGCTTCATGGTCATCTGCAAAATCCAGATTATCACTCCACTTTTTCAGAGAAGGAGACTGGGGCTCAGAGAAGTCAAGTGACTCATCCAAGGTCACACAGCCTTTCTTGGGACTTGAAAGACCACCATCTGTTCCTCCTTCTCCTGGTAGGATACTGGCCCAGGCTCCTTAGGGGCTGAAGTCCCAGAAACTGCAGGCTGGTGTGATGAGGTTTAAGGGCTGGGAGCAAGGAGGGGCTCTCCTTCCTGTTCTGTGATTCCCAGGGCCACAGAGCCCTGCAGTCCCTGAAACCTCGCCTTAACTGGGGGGTCCAGAGTCCAAGCCTGGGTGGGGATAAGGCGGGCAGGAGTGGCCTCTGTCTTTCCCTAGCATGTTTTCAGTTCCAGGAACTGAACCCATGGGTGGGAATTGGGAAGAAGCCTGGAACAGTCTCCCCTGGGGTCTCTGCAGGTGAGGTGCCTGTGGCCATACCAAGCCCTGGGAGATTCTGCAGGGTCAGCTGTCCAGGCTATTCCCAAATAGCCCCTGCCCTGCCCCGCCCTGCCCCTCAGCGTCACGATGAAGGGGGGGGCGCTTGAGAGCCATTCACATCCTGTGCAAAAGGCTGGAGGAAAGGGTGAGGGAAGGGCCAGGTGCAAGGTTATGTTTAACCAAGTGCTGGACCTGAACCTGCAGTAGTGAGACCTGTGTCTTCTTCAGCACCACCCTCATCCTTGTGCAGCCCCAGGCCCCTTTGATCAGTGCTCCTCTTTGGTCTGATGGCACCTGGAAGAACAGGGACGGGGGACCAGGCTGGAGCTCAGGTACTGTGTCTGCTCCAAGGAGGGCTCTCATTTAGACTCAGGACAAGCACTGCAAGGGGCTTGAGATGAGAAGATCCTGCTGTTTGCCCAGGTGTTCACACTCTAAGCAGACACTGCTAGTATTTGACACACTCCAGGATGCCGAGCCTGTCGGCACATTGTTATGGTAAATAAAGTGTTCACCGACTCTTTTTGCTTTGGCTAGTGGTTTAAAGCTCTGCTTGCACTCTGTACTGTTGAAAACAAAGGGCAGTGGAAGAAGAGGGAATAGTTTAGAATCTCAGAGGTGGGCAATCCCTCATGAACCTCCTAATCTAACCCCCCTCCCATATTTCAGATGGGGAAACTGAGGCCCAGAGATGGATTGGACTTGCCCAGGGCCACCCAGCAGGTGCGATGGTCACAGGATTGTGGATGGCAGTAGAGCTGGGGTCACCAGAGGTTCAGGAGAGCAGGTCCGCGGAGGGAAGCCAAGGTGTTAATTACAGGGCAGCTGGAATCTAGGCCCAGAGTTGACGTAATGCACGTGGACCAGTACTCGACCAGCGGATGAGGGTACTAGGGTCTGGCTTGGGTCTCTGTAGCCTAAAATTTGTCAGGCACCATGCTGTGTTTTACGTGGGTTAACGAAGTGACACAGCTAATAACTGTGCAGTAGGCATGGTTACTATCCCTACTGTTCAGAAGGGGAAACTGAGGCCCAGGGGAGTTAAGGAACAAGTTCGAGGTCACATAGCTAGGAAATGACAGATTTAATGCAATATCAGGCGCACTTGGCCAGAGGCAAGCCTGTCTCCTGCCTTCCCCTTCCTCTCCCTGCAGGCCCTGCAGGGAGGGGCAGCTGCAGGCTGATAGACACGGCCCAAGAAGGTCAAAGCATTCCTTAAGTTCAAAACAATAGGAGAGGGGAGTGGCTAATTAACACTGGTACACTCATATGAAGATGACTGGAGGTACCAAGAACAAAGATTGCTTTGAAGAATATTTAATGAGGTTAGAAAATGCTCGCAACATATTAAGAAAAAAAGTGCAACTGTCACTATAGTTTGATATTGTGCTTGTTTAAAAATATAAATTGAATTGAAGTAGTGGGAGAAGATATTGTAAATTTTTGAGGGATATGTGCTAATATCTGTGAAGCCCTGATTTGTAAACATGGCCATCACTACCGCAGGAGCCTTCCACATGCTTGAATAGATCTGAGGAACTTATGTGTGAGTATATCTATTGTTACATAACAAATTACTCCAAAACTTACCCTCTCACAGTTTCTGTGGGGCAGGAATCTGGGTGTGGTTTACTGGGTGCCTCTGGCTCAGGGTCTCCCACAGGCTCCAATCAAAGTAGGTTGGCCAGGGCTGCAGGCATTCGAAGGCTTGACTGGGGGAATCCACTTCCAAGCTCACAGCTATGGCTGTCTGCAGGCTTCAGAAGGTCCATCTCCAAGCTTACTTGCAAGGCTGTTGGTAGGATTCTGCTCCTTGAGGACTGAGGAGCCCAGGTTCTCGTAGGCTGTTGGCTGGAGATATTAGTTCCTTGCCACGTGGGCCTTTCCACAGGGCAGCTCGACATAGCATCTGGCACCTCTAAGCTAGTCTGAGAGCAACAAAAGGTGAGCATACGGAAGCCACAGTCTTTTTGTAACCTAATTTCAGAAACTATATCCTGTTACATCGACTATATTCTATCAGTAGAAGCAAGTCACTGGATCCAGCCCACACTCAGGGAGAGAGGATTTCACAAGGGCACAAACACCAGGAGGGGGAATCAAGGGGACATCCATCTTAGAGGCCACTTACCACCCTGGTAAGAACCAGCACTTTCTTGGATCCCTTATTTTTCCTCATCACCAAAACTAGCAGCTGGCTTTTTGAGGGGGCCATTTTTCAGAAGGGAACAATTATGTCCCCTCTCCAGCAGTGGCAATGCCCCCAGCAATGAACAGAGAGGATCTGGTGTGTTTGGGGCTCAGCAACCCCCCCCCCACCCAACTCTCCCCTCCTACCCTAGAGACACAAATTAGCTTTGCAGCAAGCACAGTGCAGCCGCTCCCTCCTCAGAGTGACCTTTGAAGCCAAGCATGGACAGTAGGTGATGAAATCGCCAGTATGCATGGCAAAAAAGTCTCCTTTGCTCTGAAAAGTAATCACTCACTGGAGGACTAAAGTTTAAACTCAATTTAAACTCTTTGAGCTGCTTTATTTCCTCCTGGTATTCACCTCTGTAGTGGGTTGAACAGTGGCTCCCTAAAAGGTATGTTCACCAAGAACCTGTGACTGTGACCTTAGTTGGAAAAAGTGTCATTACAAATGTAATTCAGTTAAGGATCTGAAGCTGAGGGCATCCTGGATTATCCAGGTGGGTCCTAAATCCAATGACCAGTAAAAGGAGGTCACCAAGAATAGGAAGAGAAGGCCATGTGAGGCCATGTGAAGACAGAGGCAGAGACTGAAGTTAGGCAGCCCCAGGCCAAGCAGCACCTGGAGCCACCAGAAGCTGGAAGAGGCAAAGAAGGCTTCTCCCCCTGGCTTTCCGAAGGAGCATTGACACAGGGAGGGCAGTGAGGAGGCTTTGTTTGTGATCTGTGCTCTTTTCTGCTATGTCCAGTATACTTCAATAAAAAGAGGGTGAATGTAAGGAGCATATCACAGTCCCTGACAGTGCCTCAATAAATGTTAGCTACTGTGAAGGAAGGAAGGAAAACCCACGCCTTGCCCCCAGGTGAATTCATTAACAATCAGAACCATGGACAGATCAGAGTCTGCCCTCAAGGAAGGCTGGAGGAAAAAGAAGAGATTTCTGATCCTGGGGACAAGAGGGAAAGAGGCTCTGAGACCTTTCCCCTAAGTTAGTGGTTCAGTGCCTTCTGGGGGCATTGCTACCATGCAGAAAGGAGACCCTTCCTAAGGGACCGTGGGTATCTGTGTGTGTTCATGCAGAATTTCATTCCATTTAAAAATGTCTGCGGCACCTTGTTTTTCTAAGCCAGTGAATGCTGAAAGCTCCCTAGAGAGGCCAGGCCTAGATCTAGTATATCCAATGGCTTCCTCAGGCTCCTGTAGGCTTTTCTCAGTGTCTTGGGCTTGTATTTATCTGGTCGGGGGATAGGAAAGAGACTCCAGGCAGGGTAAAAATAGCCTATGATAGATCTCTCAGTCATACCCATGCTCTGGGAAGAAAGGCATATTTTATATCAGTTTAATGAGCTGCTTTATTTGGTAGTGAGTTCCCTGTCACTGGGAGTATCCACAAGAGGCTGCACAACTACCTCTCAGGATATTGCAAGGAGTTCTCCTATGACATGAAGAACTTGCCCAGATGCCTACTGAGGACACTCCAAGGCTAAAATTCTATTATTTAAATCAACACCAAATTTCCTTGAAGGCGTGAACTGCTTTGTTCTGCATTGCTCCTCACCCCCAAACACCAGAATTTCCCCCTTTTCTTAAGAATTGAAATACATCATGTTCAGCAGGAAATTTGAAAAGCAGGGGGAAATGTATCCATACCACTGAATACTACTCAGTGATAAAAAGGAATGAATTATAGATACATGCAATAACTTGGATGGAACTCAAGGGCATGCATTATGCTGAGTGAAACAAAAAGCCAATCTCAAAAGGCCACATTCTGTAGGCCTTCACTTATGTAACATTCTCAAAATGATAAAACCATCGTGATGGAGAGCAGGTGAGTTAGAGATGGTGGGGGAAGGGGATGGGTATGACTATAAAGGATTGCATCTCTGAGGTGACGGGACACTATCTTGCATGTGGTGGTTACACAGCTCTACACACGTGCTAAAATGACATGGAATTATACAACATTTACAGCAATGGTGATTTCCTGGTTTTGCTGTTGTACTAAATCACATAAGATGTAATCATTAGAGGAAAATGAATGAAGTCTACAAGACCTACCCCTCTGTACTTCATTCTCAATTTCTTGTGAATCTATAATTATTTCAAAATTAAACAAAAATATAGCCCTGGTCATGTAGCTCAGTTGATTAGAATGTCGTCCTGATATGCCAAGGTTGTGAGTTCGATCTCTGGTAGGGCACATACAAGAATCAAGCAATGAATGCATAAATAAGTGGAACAACAAATCTATGCTTCCCTCTCTCTCTCTCTCTCAAATCAATCAATAAAAAGAAATTTAAAAGCATAGAAAATCCTACTGTTAACACTTTAGCATATGTCTTATGAATTATTTTCTTCACACAGGGTCATATTGTATATAAATTTATATCCTGAAATTTTCTCTTAATAGGTATCAGAGGCTCTTTCTATGTCATGAACTATTCCACAAACTAATCACGTTAACAGTTGTGTAACAGGTCAATTTCATGGATATGTCATTTACTGAACCATCCATTCCTTGTTGAACACTTGGGCTGTTTCCAACATTTTTGCCACACTATAAATAACCTCATGATGAATAACTGTGCAGAAATAGTTAACTACGTTTTGAATTATTTTCTTAGGTTAGAATTCCAGAAGGGAAATATTGAGTCAAAGGAAATAACTGAAACAATTAAAATAGTCTTGTTTATTTTTAAGGGGGAAACCAGTGTCATGCTGTGAGTCCACTCAAGCAGTCCTATGGAGAGGTCCAGGCAATGAGGAACTGAGGCCTCCTGCCAACAGCCAGCGCCAACTTGCCAGGCCCCATGAGTGTGTCCTGGAAGCAGATCCTCTAGCCCCAGTCCAACCTTCAGATGACTGCACCCCAACCTATATCCTGACAGCAACCTCATGAGAAACCCCCAAATCAAAACTACCCAGTTAAGGTACTCTGGCCCACAGACACTGCATGGGATATAAATATCTATCTTTTTCTTTTTTTTAAAAAAATATATCTTTATTGATTTCAGAGAGAGGAAAGGAGAGGGAGGGAGAGAGATAGAAACATCAATGATGAGAGAGTCATTGATCGGTTGCAGCCCGAAACCCGGGCATGTGCCCTGACCGGGAATCGAACCCTGATCGCCTGGATCCTAGGTCGACACTTAACCACTGAGCCATGCCTGGCCGGGCTAAATATCTATTATTTTAAGCCATGAAGTTTGGGGGGAGATTGTTACACAGCAATAGATAATTAACACAGACAGCTGGCTGGATGAGGGGAGGATTCACACGGCAGGGAGAGAATCCAGGCAAAAGGAACAAATCCAATATAGAAGGGACAATAACCAAAGAGAAGATGCTTGTGGGGATGGAGTAGCCAGGCCTCAGGGAACCCTAACCCAGCTGCAGGGCTCTCTCCTCCTCCCCAGAGTACCTCATGGCACGAAGAGGCCTGATCTAGACCTATAGCAACACCAAGGGGAGCTGATATGCAAGTGGAAGACAGCTATTGAGGTCACGGGCAGTGACTACATCAGAGCTCTGAAGTCCTTTGGGTTTGAGCAGTGCTCCAGCAAGCTGCAGGGACCCCAGGTCAGGGCCCAGCCTGGGGAAGAAGCAGCTAGCAGGGACTTAGCTAGCAGGGACCTCATCTCTGTCCAGAACTGGCAGCTGCAATGGGAGGCAGTGATGTGGAAGAGAGACACACCAGGTTCCATTTCTGACTCACTGTGTGGTCTTAGGCAAATTATTTAACATAATGGAGCCTGTTTGTCAGCTATCCAGATAGGACTCATGACGAGGCTTACCTGGCTAGGCTGGGTGCAGGCTAAATGGGTGGTGCATGCGAAGTCACGGTTGAGGGCCCAGCACACACTCACACTTGGGGTGTGTTCATGCCATTTATTTCTTCCCTGGGCAAAAATATGGGTGGGGAGGTGAATGGATGAATGTAGTTATAAGCAAGTGGGCTTGTTTGACTCACAAGTATCTGGGACTTGCTCTGGACACCCAGCTTCGGCAGCTTAGAGGCAAAGCCGGTATCCAGGGGGAGAGNTGGCCGGGCTAAATATCTATTATTTTAAGCCATGAAGTTTGGGGGGAGATTGTTACACAGCAATAGATAATTAACACAGACAGCTGGCTGGATGAGGGGAGGATTCACACGGCAGGGAGAGAATCCAGGCAAAAGGAACAAATCCAATATAGAAGGGACAATAACCAAAGAGAAGATGCTTGTGGGGATGGAGTAGCCAGGCCTCAGGGAACCCTAACCCAGCTGCAGGGCTCTCTCCTCCTCCCCAGAGTACCTCATGGCACGAAGAGGCCTGATCTAGACCTATAGCAACACCAAGGGGAGCTGATATGCAAGTGGAAGACAGCTATTGAGGTCACGGGCAGTGACTACATCAGAGCTCTGAAGTCCTTTGGGTTTGAGCAGTGCTCCAGCAAGCTGCAGGGACCCCAGGTCAGGGCCCAGCCTGGGGAAGAAGCAGCTAGCAGGGACTTAGCTAGCAGGGACCTCATCTCTGTCCAGAACTGGCAGCTGCAATGGGAGGCAGTGATGTGGAAGAGAGACACACCAGGTTCCATTTCTGACTCACTGTGTGGTCTTAGGCAAATTATTTAACATAATGGAGCCTGTTTGTCAGCTATCCAGATAGGACTCATGACGAGGCTTACCTGGCTAGGCTGGGTGCAGGCTAAATGGGTGGTGCATGCGAAGTCACGGTTGAGGGCCCAGCACACACTCACACTTGGGGTGTGTTCATGCCATTTATTTCTTCCCTGGGCAAAAATATGGGTGGGGAGGTGAATGGATGAATGTAGTTATAAGCAAGTGGGCTTGTTTGACTCACAAGTATCTGGGACTTGCTCTGGACACCCAGCTTCGGCAGCTTAGAGGCAAAGCCGGTATCCAGGGGGAGAGGCGCTGGTGAGCTGTTGTACTGAGTTAGGGGCCAGGGCCATGCAGCTGCTTGGGGAGCACAGAGAAGAGCAGATTTGAACATATACTTCTCAATGCAAAACAGATGAACAGTCAGTTACCTCATGAAGAAGCGCTCAGCATCATTAGTGTGAAACTACCGATCTCAACATGATACTTACACCCCCACCGGAATGACTAAAATAAAAATGACAACACTGGATGCTGGTGAGGACTCTCATGTTTTTGGAGAGTGCATGAAATGGTACAGTCACGCTGGGAAAAGGTCTCCATAATGAAACACGCATCTACCTGATGACACAGAGGTCCTCCTTTTAGGCATTTATGCAGGAGAAATGAAAAACATGCCCACAAAAAGCCTTATAAAGTGTTCCTAGCAGCTTTAGTCAGAACACTCAAAGACCAAATAAAGCCCAGGCGTCCATCTCCTGGACAGTGAGTGATTAAACTGTTGTATATTCATATGATACAATATTGCTCAGCAATGAAAAGGGAGAAACTGCGGACTTGTGCAACAACATGGACAAAGCTCAAAAATATTATGCTGAGTTGAAGAAAAAGCTTTACACGATAGGCTTTCATTTATATGAAGTTTTAAACCAAGTAAATGATCTGTGATGGAAGAAATGAGGACAGTGGTAACCCGCAGGGCGGGAAGCACTGGGGCAGACATTAACTGGGAAGCGGCAGGAGGGGACTTTCTGGCGTGTTGCTAATGGTCCATATCTTGATAGGGGTTTGGGTTACACAGGTATATGCATTTGGCAAAACTCAGCAAATCTATACTTAAGATTTGGGCATTTCACTTTATATAAATTTTATCTCAAGAGAAAAAAAAACTTGTAAATCAATATTGATCTCTTTTTAATGATGTTGAAGTATTTAGTGGGAAGTATACTGATGTCTGCAACTTCTTGGAAATGCGTCAAAAGAAAAAAAAAGGATTGATGGATGGACAGAAGGATCTGTAGACACACAGTTATGTGATAAAGCAAGTAGAGTTAAATACTAATGACAGAGTCTAGGAGGTGAGTGTACAAGTTTTCTGTATGTTTGAAGATTTTCATAATAATTTTGTTTTACATTTACCAGTTTATTATAAAGGATACTAATAAACGGCCAAATGAAGGGGCGCACAGGGAGAGGTCAGGCAGGGTCCTGTACACAGGAACTTGTCTCTAAGAAGCTGGAGTGTACCACCCTCCCAGCACATGGATGTAGTCACCAAAGCTCAATAATTTTTAAAAATTAAGACAAAACTCACTTGGGATCCTTGGCACAAATGCAGAGTGCTGCCTGCCCCCCTCCCCCAAATGTGACTCTCTGGGCTGGGACTAGGACCCAGCCAGTGTCTAGAACAGGTTCCATGGAGGTTCTCAAGCTCCTAGGGGGCTCGTCTCCCAGCTAGGTCCAAACACAAAACCTTCCCAAGGGCTCTTCTGAAGGGGTCTCTAGGGGTCTCTCTCACCTCCTTCTTGGGGTTCTCTGCTTCTGTGCTACAGCAGCCACCACTTGGAGAAATCGGCTCTCATTCCTAAATGGGCAAAGGCCTCCAAGGTCTAAGCTGAGCCCAGAAGGATCCTGAGGCCTCTTTGAGGAGCCCTGGCCAATCCCATCGCCTCCCTAACCTCTACAAGGCTCACACCTGGGTGCTCACCAGGCTTCACAGCTTTGCTGTGACCCAGATACCCAACAGGCAAAGGGGGAGAGGCAACTGGCAAATTAAATGACAGTCTCCACCAATAGGAGACACTGTACCCCACCCCTGGTTCCACTGCCAGGGCTACCTCTCTGAGCAGGGTCAATACTCTCTGAGACCCTGCCAGGCCAGTCTCTGGCCTCCAGCCTCCCCAGCTCAGGGTTGAGGACTGTTGCCTGGCAGGTAATTGGCCTGGGAAGTCCAAAGGGAGGGGGGAGCGGGGCTCAGGGGAGGAGGAGCCCCAGGTGCTGCAGGAAGTGCAGCTGTTAATTAAGTGGCTCCTTCCCACTTAAGGCCTGGGAGATTGGACCTGCTGAGGCCCAGGGAGCAGCCGATCTTAAAGGAGACAAGACCCCATTCTGATCCTCATTGGAAGATGGCAGGTCTTCCCAGGGATTACCCTAAGCACTGCAGCAACTCCTCCACTCCTGAAACACCACCCTTCCTCCTACTTCCAGGGCTTCTTTATGGCTTGTGCTCAGGATTTGCCCTGTCCTCTTGGGCTCCCCAGTGGAAATATTCAGTGGGAGGGAAGCCAGTTAAGGAATCCATGTGACCAGGGCCCCACTGAGAAGCTCTAGGGATCCCTGGGAAAAAAGGACCAGGAGAGGGTACAGCTCTGGCTCAAAGCAGGTGGGACAAGAGTCAAGACCAGGGAAACCCTTGAAGGGCCAGGTGGTCAGATGGTTGTGATAAACTGCAGCAATGAAGGCTCCTTGACAATGCCCCACTTAGTGCTTGGCAGGAGAAGTACCTGAATTGTAACCACAGCCACATCCAACGTTCTCTGAGTGTGGTTCCCACCAGGAGCGGCAGCAGCAGCACCTGGGAACTTATTCTGCAGGTTCAACATGCAAATTCCCAGGCCCCCCTCCTTCCCAGACCCATGCATTAGAGACTTGGGCCCAGCAATCCCATAATCTAGGTGATTCTGATGCACACTCAAGTTGGAGAACCATTGGCATAATCTGACTGGACTCCGGAGCAGGGCTGTCTAGAAAACTTCCTTCTCCACAGATTGGTTCACATTCATCAAAACATTCATTAGCACCTTCTATGTACTAGACCCCATGTCAAGCCTCATATCACACAGGTGGCCATTTAAGACTCATGACCTTCTGTTCCACAATCTTAGGGACAATATCCAGGTAAGTAGATTGCAAGTAAACAACACAGGCACAGAACAGTTTTCTCTAGCCTCACCAGAAGCCTGGTTCCTTTACCCTGCCTTGACCCCAACCCCACTCCACCCAGAGAAGAAGGGTCCTTCTCTTGGTTCCCAGGCATGGTGAGGGCAAGAGATGTGCACCCCAAAGCAGCCAGAAGGCAGTGCTGCGCTGGGACTCAAGTCCTATCAACTTGGTCAACTTTTCCTCTGTGCCAAGCAAGGTCAGAGTCACAGATGGGTGGCTTAAGAGTTATATCTGCCCACAAACGTGTTTGGCTTCAGTCCACAGAGTGTATTCGAGTTTTTCAATTAGTTGTCAACCTTTTCAAATTGAGAGATTTCCCATGAAAAGAAGATCTGGCATTACCAGACCACACTTCCCACAGGCCTCCCTTCAGTGGGAGACTGGATAAGCAGATGCTTTCTTTTGATGGGGCAGATGCCCTGCTGAGACCCAGTGTCCTCTCTCCCTCTGCTTCCCTCACTACTTTCTTTTCCTGCCTTGCTTTCCTAAGCCTCTGGGAGTACTGTCCAGTAGTAGGGGCTTAGTTGCCCTGAGTACCAAAAGATATACAAGACTCAGCCTTCTTTGGAGTTTACTATCAGGACTTTGTTGAGATAAGAATGTCCCATAGAGAATTAGTCTATTTGAGCCAAACTGAGGACAACTGCCAAGGAGCAAGATCTGAAATGCTCTGGATAATCAGTTTTACAGTTCCTTTTATGCACTTGAGATTAAGGAGAGGAATGTAAAGAAGATTACATGAGGGTGGGAGAAGGGTTGGGTTACAGGATAGTTAACAAGATTAGGTGCTTTCTTGAGGGTGGTTAGGCTTATTTCAAAGATGCACAAAAACAAGGGCGAGTAAACCTTTTACTAAAAAAAGCTATCTGCCTGGGGCAGGACTACTTACCGTGACTTGTCCTGTTAAGAATTCATTATCTGCCTGGCTGGCAAGGCTCAGCGGTTGAGCAGGAGAGGGAGGTTCAGTTTCTGGTCAGGGCACATGGCTCGATCCCTAGTGGGGGGCATGTAGGAAGCAGCCAGTCAATGACTCAATCATCATTGATGTTTCTCTCTCTCCCTCCCTTCCCTTCCTCTCTCTGAAATCAATAAAGACATATAAAAAAATTTTTTTAAAGTTACTTTCCCTGGAAATCCTTTCCTGTCCACAGCAGGTGGAGTAGGGTTTTAGAGTGGGGTAGGTTTAGGGGTAGGGGAGGCATTGCATGCAGAAGGAACATGGGCAGCTAAAGTGGAGGCAGGAGAATGCAGGACTATGGGGATAACAGTTGCCTCCACAGGGTATCTGTCTCCCAAGGGGACAGCCAAGTGGGCATGCCTAAGCACCCCCAGTACCCCTAGCCCTACCCAGATGTGGGACAGACCTTAACAGAATCACTTAATAATTCACAACATGGTCAGAATTTGATCAGCAGGAAGTGGGAGGGAAGGTGCTGGGAGTTGGAATCACACAGACCTCGGTTCGAGTCCTTGTGCCTCTACAGTTGGCTCCCATTTCCACGCCTCTTTATTTATTTTACTTATGATTTTTTGAGAGAGAAAGAGAGAGACATTGGTGGATTCTCGTATGTGCCCTGACCAGGATCGAACCCGCAACCCTGGTACACTGGACGACACTCTAACCAACCGCGCTCCTCCAGGCCTCTTTGGCGTGGGGACGGTCGTATCCGTGTTGCCGGAGAGGCTGTGCAGACAGGGCCTGCGCTGCGCTCCACACACAGTAGGGGCTCTGCAGTCGATAGTTCCGGACCGACCACACCAGGCACGTAGTAGGCACGAAAGGAGCAACTGGTGCACATGCCAGCGGAGCTGCGGGAGGGCGCCGGGGCATCTCGGCTCCAGGTGGGGCCAGGGCGGCTCTCCGTCTCCGCCTCGCGCGACCCCGGCCCAGCTGCGAGCGCGCGTTGACCGCGGCGAAGCCAG